GGGCAGCAAACAGTCCACAGGCTACAGGTTAATAACCTTGATAAATAACCTTTCATAGGTGAAAATGGCAGGAGCTGTGACTGAGCCTAGTGTGGACAAATTTAATCATGAAGCAGCAGATGATGACACTCTAATACTAGAAGGGGAAGAAGGTGGTGATGCTGACATTCGTTCTGGCTCTCCAACTGCAATCAAAAAGAAAAAGAAGAAGAAAAAGAAAGGTAGGTCTGGGTTTGACCTTAGGTATTACATCTATCTTTCACTTCTGATTGAGTTTCAGTTGAATTCACAAATTTCACACTTGAATTGAGAAAGATCCAAATGTCTTTATTCTTTTGTTGACCACTGTTCATTCTGTTTCATGAATCAAAAGGTATGTTACTCTTGGAGTAGCCATCTCTAGGAGCCAATATCATTTGTTATAAAGATGGGTTGCATTATGAAAAATTAGCCTTGGAGTAATTACTTGAATAGAATATATAAGTTTTTGCTAGGATGAAGGGAACCAGAAGCATAATATCCTTGCATATAAGAAAATATGTTATTTGGCTACATTTTATGCTTGCATACATTTGCTTGCTGGTTGAGGTTAGGAACTATGAACCAAGAGAAGGATTAATCCAGTGACAGAGTATATACTAAGAGCTTTGTAGAAGCTCCTACATGTCCTTTCTGTGAAGATAATCATACTTTGATTCATATGATCTTTGATTGTCCGATGTCTAACGAAATTTGGATTGCCCTTAAAGATTTTCTTATTCAAGAAAGGTTTAATGAACAACAACTGAATCTAACCAGTGAAGAAATGCTCTTTGGTCTGACTGGAAGGAATAGCCACTTGCTTAATATAATTTTACTTCTTACCAGACATTTCATTTTCGTCTGTCATATGGAAAAGAAAAAACCCACATTCAATCAATTACTTCATGCCATTAAGAAACATTTCCGTGTGGGAAAACTCATAGCATATCGAAATGGGAATGCTTTGAACTTTAATAAACTGTGGAATCCATTAAAAAGTTTCCTTGAGAGGCAAGAATGGGTATCCCGTGAATTGTCCCCAGCAATGCGTACTTCCGCATCTAGTCACATTTGAGATTTATCATCACTCTATTACCTTTTTTTTTCTCTCTCTCTCTTTCTGTCGCTTCTCCCCTGGATCCTGGTATCTTATCCTCCCGTCCATTTATGTCCTTGGTTTTTTTTTTAATGTATAATCATCCCCCTTAATTTTTTTTCTCATTTCGTTGAACTGTTTCAGGTTTTTTTTTCTCTTTTTCCCCCTATCTTTCTCTTGGCCTTAGCCTTCTCTGCTTTTCACTCTCCACCTTTTTTTCCCATTATATTTATCGTTATTCAGTTCTTATTTATGTATTTTCCCCTCCTTTTTTGGGGTTTTCTCGGTGGAATTGAAGATTGAAGAGATGTTCGAATAAAAAAAAAATAAATAAATAAAATATGTAGGACGGCGTATAGAGATGCGCACGAAAATTTCTCTAATGGTTCACGTGTCAGTTACGTTATTCGAAATGATCTTGCCAGACATTGTAATGTCTGGCATCTCTGTACGCCGTCCTACTTATAGGACGCCAGGCATATCTGGCATATACGTGAAGAAAGTCGTGATCAAGAATCGGCAAATTCGGGCTCCTGACGTGTGGGTGACTATTTTCCTTTCACTTTTCCGCATTCGCCATGAAACTGTCAACCTGTTGTATTTTACCCATCTCCAATCCAAAGCACCGTAGAGCAGAATTGAGAACAGGAATTAGTTCTCTTCATTCCTCAAAGATGTGGCGAATATTCAATACGAAGTCAACACTCAATCAACTTCGGATGAGTCGAATTCTCCCGGTCAGTATTCGTACCGTTAGGCCTAATTAGATGGTAGACTTCATGTTGGACGCAAGAATCCAGACCTGATGCTGGCGTTCCATTTATTCGATAATGTGATGAAAAGAGAAGGAGCCTCTGATGGGTCGAATGGCTGGAAAAGCAGAGCTTGACCCCAATCTCCGATCCTCACTGCTTCATGCTCTCCATCTTCCTACCTCCTTCCCCAACAATGAGGTCTCAGAGCCGCCCGTAGCACGATCTCGAGGCCCCCATGTGTCGTGCTCTGGGAGAGTTTCTACCGAAAGGTGGCCTCGGCAAGGTGGAGCTAATTAACTTCAATTCAAATTTACAGAATCAGATTAGCAGACATTGCTTTTTGCGAAATTGTTGTGTACGAGATGGGATACTATACCAAACTTTTTGATCTCGCAATAAAGAAACATCTTATTCTTTCTTCACTTATTCTTTGCCTCCGTCATCTTTTTTTTCAATTGTCAAAACTAGTCCAACATCCCCCCTCTCCCATTACCATCGATTGCCAGCTTACGCCTCCCTTTTTGCTGATGTAACTCTTGAACATTCCTCTTGAATCCCTATGGATTCCTTTCACGATGACTTGGAAGGCTTTACTCCACGAGGTTCATGGAATGACTTCATCAACTGAGCGACTCGTTTTTCTTCATGCGTCGGTATCCGCTTGCTGCTATCGTGGTTGTGGTGGGAGTCTATTGTTCATGCATCGCATTCCACCTCAAAGCTAATAATCCCGGAATAATTTGATTATTCGATTCATTAATAGATCGGATAGACTGCAATTAATCGGATCAGCATTCCATTAGCAGCTCTGCAGGAAAAGGAATTCAGCCTGCTTTCCCTCAAGGATGAGTCACCGTTGCACTTCTCTGAGCCTCGTGTACGAGGAATGCGGACTTGGCTGTTACCTCATGTTCGTGGAAATGCACGGGAGGCGAGTTTCTCGTATCTCCTTGGTACCCGCTGATATCTGACGGGGCCGTGATGTCGCTTTACCCACACTCGCACAAGCGAGTAGATAGTGCATCGGGATCGCCCGGTTCGCTCAGCAGTCGGGTTCTGTACGACGAGGCTCCATTGCAGCTTCGTGTCCTAACATAATAATTCTGTGTTTGAAATAGGAGATCTCTACACTACAGTGCATCGACCCTAGACAGGTTGGTGAACGTCAGCAGCAAGTCTCCCCATATCCAGAGCCATTGCCTTTTTGACCCAATAGGAGCGGCGTTTAATAGCAGCCGACGAGCAAAATGACCCAGTAGGTAATAAGAGCGATCTGGGCTTCGACGGCTTACAATCACAGACGTTGGGTTTGATATTCGCCCTCTGGAGGAGTACTTACGACCGTCTAAAGAGAGAGACTGCGCAGAAATAAATGGATCTGTCCAAAACTGATGAGCCTAAACAATTAAGAGGGTAAATTCAGAATCGCTCGTTCATACGTCGTTTTCGAAGGGCGGCAGTTTAAGGCAGAGATTTGCACAATTATATATCGTTCGTTTGATAGTTTCCACGCAGTTCTCTCGTAGCTCTGCTCGGAGTCCATCATATTTTTTCATTAATGAAGTCATCCTTTGACCCGCTCTTCACGTCATTCGATGTACTGAGAACTGACGTAGTTTCCGTGTACTTTTTTCAACTTATATATAAATGGAGTAAGAGGTGATTGCTCTCCATCAGGGCAGTTTCTAGGGGCGGGCGAAGCGGGCGATCGCCCGGGGCGCCAGCGGGGTAAAGGGGAAGGGGGGGGGGGGGGCGCCCTTGGAACTTCTTGCCCTGGGCGCCAACACTGAAGCGGGCGATCGCCCGGGGCGCCAGCGGGGTAAAGGGGAAGGGGGGGGGGGGGGCGCCATTGGAACTTCTTGCCCTGGGCGCCAACACGCCTAGAAACGGCCCTGCTCTCCATGGAACATTGCAGGTGTGAGTGAGCTTCTGGGAGGCTTCTCACCCCTTCCCCAAACATTCTTGAGAGCATTCGGAACCTTCTGAATCCTCTATTGAGTGCTAAAGGTGAATGCCTAAAAAAAAGTTTTTCCTTCAGTTCACCATTTCCTTCACATACTATGGCATTTGCAAGTTTTTTTTAATCGAGGCGAAAAGTGCCCCATTCAATGAAACGAATATTACGCTTTCAAGCAATCATTGAATAACAGCGCGTTTTCTTCCTGAGATCGGCTCGAGTAGCTACTTCAGTCCGTTCCAGGTCAAAGCCAGGTCAAAATACAGAATTCGGCAGACAGGTTTATTCAGCCATTTTTTGAAGTCCGTGTGAACTTTCACTTGGAATAGACACCTCATTAATTACTGATAATTTATCTATTAACATTTTAGATGCGTTATTGTGGGCGTTGCTCATTCATTTTTTCAAACCTGATTCACACTTTTTTTTAGAATTCGTTGAAGATAATTGCAATGGTTTTTGCGCTTGAATAGGTGATATAGTATTAATTTATTAGTAATGTAAACACGGTCTACGAATTGTTAAGAATGTGATCTTGCAGAGTCCAACTGGCATGGATGTGTCTTAGTCAGGGGATCAACCATGCAGCGCTAAGTATTCTATCTCCACTTTTTTTCCCTCTAACAGGAAGGATGGAAGCATTTGAAGAACGTTGTGGTCCATGTCCTCGTCAGTGTGTTTTACAGATTTAATACGGAAGCTACGGAAAATGCAGCATCCCCTAAATCAAGAGGGGTCTGCTGCTCGGTTGCAGATCTACAGAATCTAACCCCCTATCCTTCACATGCCTCAACAGAACCTATTCCACAATTCATAGGTGAGGCTCTCACACCCTACCTGACGAAATACTTAGGATAAAGAACGTGAGATGACAGAAAATTTTAACAACTACGGAAATAGATCCCGACCTTGAATTCCCTGAAACCATCATTGGTGACCCTAAACTATTTGGGGGTGATCAAGATGGATTTCCTGAAATACTCTCCTCGTCAGTTCCAGACCTACAAACTATGGATTGCTCTTTGCCACATGTGGCTCTATTGGAGGCTCATTTTGGTAACTCAACAAAACAGGTTGGTAAGAGGAAAATATTTAGAATTAATTAGAAAATACATCGTATTACTTAATACGCACAAATTTAGCGTACGTAGAGGCACAAGGTCTACACATACCAAAGAACGTAATCCTGTAGGGATTGTCTTACTCATATGATCAATACTGCAGAACCAAAGTACCTAACCTACATTTTTTGCTTTCTTACAGGATGAAATGGCAGAATTTAGAGAAAGTAGTGGACCAGGCCTTCAACAGTATGTTTTACAGATCTAGTGCAGGCGCCACGGAGAATGCCGCATCCATGTCTCCAGGTGGGTCTTACTACTCGGATGCAAATGGAACGCCGAACCTAACCCCCTTTCTTTCATATCAACTAGCAGAATCTGTACCACTTTCCATCGGTGAGGTTTTCACACCCTACCTGACAAAAAGCGTATGATAAAGAACACGGGATAACAGAGAAATGTTGAACTTCATAAACAGATCCAGACCTTCAATACCTTGACTCCATCATTAGCGGCTTTGAAAAATCAGCCAGCAAGAGCACACTGTCTGCACTGAATGGGCTGGCTGTAATGGTCAATTCAGGATCCCCTTCTCCACATGGATCGTCAGCTTTTCAAGAGGATATGATTACCTTTGGTAACATTTCTCAAAGCCTACATGACTACATACCGAAGATGAAGGACACTGTAGTGAATTGGTTGTATGTCTTTGTCCCAGAGCTGAGAAACAACTTCCAGCAAGTTATACCCACAACTGCCTTGAAGTCACACGGGACTGATTATTTTGGGAATGATTTGTCGCCAATGCCTGTGCGTGTGGACTTTTCCCCTGAAGAACAGCACAATCACTTTCCTCTTGGAGAGGTAAATATTTTGGACTCATAATAAGGGTCACTGAACAGTCAAATCACTTGAGATTTCCTATTGTCAAACATCTCCTTCATACATGAAGGAAAGACATTTGACAACAAATCCTAACATTGTTTTAAGCAAGTAACATTAAGTTTTGGAAGTCAATGTTCAACATTCATGTCTGAGATCAGGTGGAATCAACTACATCAGTAACATAGTGTAAGGGAGGGCAGGGGGGGGGGGATATTTGTCCTGCATGATAAGTGCATGATAAGTATCCCAGAGTTTCTTGTGCCCTCCCTTCATTTTTCTATCCCACGATATACTTATGAGCAACATTATGTATTTCTCAATGACTTTGATTCCTGATGTATCCTCATGTTCTTGTGATCACTGCATAAAAAAAACTCTGACATACAGTTGACACTCAATATAATGAACTCGAAGAGACAGGCATAACAATTTTGTTTTAAGGAAATTTAGTAGTAAGAACTGCAAAAAATTATCAATTCGTTTGTTTTCCATTCATGAAAAAATGCAAAGGTCTAGATGCATGTAATATTTAAAAAAAAGCTTATAAGATGAGTGCCTAAATGGGTGTGCATTGCAGAATGTCCTTATGTAGGTATCATAAAAATCAGACAAGTTTCCAATGCTGTTCACTAATTGGAAACAAAGTCCCAAATGGTTGTGAGCTGTGCTCTTTCCTGGAAAATTCTTTGAGGGGGGAAAGGGGTCAGAAAATCAAAATTTTGACAAAAAATGAAAATCTCAGAAATGTCAGCAAATTCTTCACTAAGTATTGATCTGGCAGAACAAAAGACAGTTCAGAAAGAACAAGGAAGAGAACGAAAAATAAACTGATTCATTCTTTTCATTTATTTCATTTTACTCTATTCATGGTTTTTGTGAAAATTGCATTCTTCTAACAACCATAATTTTCTTATTCTTTCTGATGTATCAATGATATTAAGACAGTTGACATATTGAACTGTGCAATGAACTGCTAATATTGAAGTAAGTGTGAATATCTATCATTTTCTTGATAAAATCTCAAAATTTCTACATCCGAATTCTCGAAATACAGTTATTCTGCCATAACTCAATTATGGAGCAACAAAATGGTGGATTTCTCTGGTTAGTTGCATAGAATGGGCAATTCCCTACAAAATGTATCAAACTAGACTCAATTAGGTTGAAAAATAACGTTGCTGTAGCAGTCAGTGGCGTGCCCAAGGGTGGGGGTTTTGGGGGTCATAATCCCCCCTTGGGGTCAATTTTACATGTTCGATTCTCACAAGTTTTTTTTTATTTTGCAACAAATACTGTACAGGGTGGGTTATCAGTTTTTTTAAATGTAAACCCCCCCCCTCATTAGGGTGGGTAATCGGTGTTTCATATGGCGACCCCCCCATTCAGATTTCCTGGGCACGCCACTGGTAGCAGTCAACAGGTTTTCACATATTTAATGAGGTTATCTGGTTACTATGGCAACCAGGTATCAACAAATGGTGTGATTTCAAGTTCTCCCCATCTTGTGTGCCTATGAAGTGAGATAACTCAATTCCCATGAATAAAACTTATTAAACCAAGCCTGAACCCTTTACCACCTTAAGCTGTGGTCTGCAGAGCACTCAATGTTTGAAAAGTTTCAGGGTCAACATTAGTCCTTAGGCTGGAAAAAGCCAAAGATAGTAAAAGGCTTCGATTGCCTGACCAAGCAATTACTGGGCTTGGCTTGGCTATGATCCTTAAGATCCTGAGATTAAGACTGACTGGTAGAGCTCTCTTACTCCCCACAATCATGCATAACTGGGTGGAACATGCTCCATTTAGAGATGAGATATTTTCCAGGAATGCACAAAAGAAAGCAGCTCACATGTATGGTGCAGATTTTAACTTTGTAACATGGAGCAATTTTGTTCCTTCGGATGAAAAAATAAATGAGTAAAACAAAACAAGTCGTTATACACAACTTCGTTAAAGAGGAACTTTTCAACATGGATGTGAATGGGATGGGAACAGAATAGGAAACAAACTCATAAAAAATAAAACTTGTGATATAGAGGTTCATTTGATCAAGTGTTGACTGTATTTCATATTTGTTTCATACATTATGAGCCCAAATAATAGCATCCCTATTGAGGCTCTTTTTGATGCTCATAGGAGAACGGAGGAGGAATGAGGATGGAAGCTGAACAGCTGAGGAAATGGCATACTAAGTCACAGTCACCCCAAGATGATGTGAAAACCAAACAGGCTAGAAACAGACTATCGGCCAAAAAATACAGGCAAAAATATAAACTCAAGCAGCAGAAGAAGGCAGAGGAATTGGAGAAGGAGATAAGGAAAAACCGGCAGCTCCAGCAGAAGAAATATGAGATGAAAAGGGTCCTTAACTGGCTCAGGCCCTTTACCATGCAAGTGGTTGTCTCCAAATATCACTGCAGACAGCCACAGTTCTGCTATGTCCTTCAAGATTCTGTTTCCCATTTTCATCCCTCATAGAGAATCCTGTATGTTCTCATTCTGTTGCAACACTTGAAATTCTCCATGAACATAGTATGTATATACCCAACATTTTTCATTGACTCACACACCAGTTCAGATTCGCAGCACATCAATTATGTTACTCTATTAGATAGTGATGCAGGGTACAGTCACAAAATAAAATTTCCCATTCAGAAATAGAAAAATTAAATCTATCATCCTTGGAGTTTGAGTCATTGAAAGAACTTCAACATAACCAAGGGGAAGTGGGGGAGGGCAGAGGAATGAAGCAAAATTTTTAGCAGCAATGAAATCATGAGAAGTAAGGATGGGTTCATTGTGAGGTTTTATTTCCATGACTCTAAATGGCATTACCGTCTGATCTTTTATAGCACTTGAACAAAATTTCAACAATTACCTGATATATCTCAAACTTGTGGTCATGGGGTTCTCTAAGTTCCATGTGTATTATTTTGGCATGTTTATTCTTTTCTTTTAGTATTAAAACTGCAGCTTAAATTATTTTTTACTCTATTAGACATTCAAAAAAGCCTACAAAGGTTTGAGAGAATGACCAAAGAAGCCAGGTTCTGTGTGAAAATTGCAAAGAAACTCTTGTTGGTTGTGATCAAGTTAAGGGAGATGAAGCCATGTCTGGTGGATGCAATTTTGAGAGTCATGAAAGGTTCAAGATGGCCACAACCAGATGATGCAAGAAGGGGCTGTGCCTCAGGTACTTGAGGAGATAAAAATGTTGCTCTCATTGATAAGCTAATCAAGAGCAACTCTCAAATCACAATTGGAGCCTTTGCAGAACTGGGAATCTCCTCTATAAAGAATTTTGAAAATAGGACTGAAGATCTCCAATATAGCAAAGTTTGTGCATGCTTCATTCCTCTGTGGCTCTCTGAAGAGCATAATTGTGGCAGGTTAATGAATTGTTTATTGTAGAAAGCAACTTTGAGGTATTTGGGTGAAATAAAATTCTGATTCAAGTCATCACTTTTGGCAAATTTTTGTTTCATCACAAAGACCCTGAACTCCAGTCAGAAATTTAATATATTTGCAGCACTCATCAAGCCATAGCAAAAAAATGGCTAAAGTCATCATGCCAATAGGAAGATGATGCACCGAATCTTTGTTCACCTGGGCTATATGATCTCACAGATTCTCAAGATTGAACTCTCACTGGTGCTAATTGCTTCAATGTCTTTAAGCTCCTTAATGTTTACCCTGCAACAGTCATGGGGTAAATGACCAAGAACTTTTAACCAAAATATCTCTGCTCACAATGGAGCTAATGTGCAAAAGTTTCAATATGTATATACAAGTACTAGCTATGGTCGTGCTTTCGGCGCTTCATTACCTTGAATAATGATTAATTCATTTATTCTTTTCGAAATGGGAAACATTTATTTTAAGTACGTCCCCATTGAAATACATGACATATGGCAACGAAAGTATTGATTTTGATCAAAATCATTACTTATATGATTTCTAGTGTGCCTAACTTGAAATCATTTCATGTGTCCCTTTTTGTAAGGGTGGAGAATACATTTTGAAATACTTCCCTCCTATAAACTATGCTAAAAGGACATATTTCAAAAGTAGGATTTTTCCTGTACTCAGCCATCAAATAGGTACTTCTGAGGGAAGTTTAAATTTTTTATCTCTGTTTCATTGGATCAAAAAAATAATTCAGGAAAATGGGACTTACAAAAAAGTGCCCTGACAGGTTTTAGTGAAAATTTTTTTTCTTCTGAAATGTAGACTCAGGGAACTCCATGCCACCCAGTTTCAGCCTTATACGTTTCCCCTTTTGCTGGTGGAAAAAATGTATTTGGAAAAGCGACACACCCAAAAGCTGTGCTCTGAGGAGACACAACAAAAGTTGAATTTTTCCTTAAATCAACATCACGACCGCTATGTGTGGGCCAGCTGCTACTTTTCTATTTCTGCCTGATTCACTAGGATATGAAAAATTCTTTGAAAATGTAACGTCCCCAAGAAATATGCCCCCCAAAATATTTTGGAAATTTGACATTTTTCCTGAGCTCAGTGCATCAGCAGTCACGTTCTTGCCAAGTTTCAGCTTTCCATGTGTCTCCATTTTATTGAAGTAAAGAGAACTATTTGAAAATATGTTCCCCAAAAAGGTGTGCCCCTATGGCATGTATCACCAAAGTAGAATTTTTCCTGAACTCAGCATGCAAATAGTTACTTTTGTCAGTCAGTTAGCTACTCACAATCATCCATATATAATAAAAGTATAATTTTTTCTTTACAATGCTATGCATCAGGTACTTCTTTGCCAAGTTTAAGCTTTCTAGCACCCTCTGTTTTGCTGGATCAGAAAATTTGGGAAAATGCGCCTTTAGCAAAATATGTGCCCTGAGGTGTTTTAACCGAAAAGTACAATTTTTTACCAAAATCAATCCTCAGAGAGCTTCATGCCCACAAAGTTTCAACCTTATACGTTTGTCCTTTTCGCTGGTGAAAAAACACATTTGGAAAAACCGACCCACCCAAAAGCTGTGCCCGGAGGGAACGGACCATGAAAGCTGAATACTCCCTCAATTCATTAATATCATATCACTTATACATGTGCCAAGTTTCACCTTTCCATTTTTGTCCAATTCGCCATGACAAAAAAAAAATTTTTTAAACATCGTCCCTCAAAAAAATTCCCCCAGGGGGTGTATTGAGACCTAACATTTTTCTTTAACTCCTTGTCTCAGTAGTCACATTCATGCAAAGATTCAGCTTTCCATGTTCATCAGTTTAACTGATGCAAAATAATTATTTGAAAACATCTCCCTTTGAAATTTGTGCTGCTGGGGAATTTACTTGCACAGTCTGAATTTTTCTGCACACAGCATCCCAATAGGTAGTTATGTACCAAGTTTCATCTTTCTACACTAGTCCAATACGCCAGGGCAAAAAAAAATTAATTGAAAACGTCAACCCCCAAAAACATGCCCCCATGGTATGGATCTAAAATTTCACATTTTTCCTGAACTCATCATCTCAGTAGGCATGTCCATGCCAAGTTTCAGCTTTCCATGTCTCTCCGTTTTACTCAAGCAAAAATATTGTCATGGAGGGGGAATGAGTAACGGGACTTGGAAGGCATGAGAGGCCGAAAGAAAACCAAGGAATGGCCGGGAATTGAACCTGGGCCTCCTGATCGCCGGTCAGGTGCACTACCACTACACCACCGAACCTGGGACATCTAGTCGTGCCTCTCGATGCCATCCTCATCCGTCACAATATATATTTAAAAACTTCTCCCCCAAAATGTGTACACCCCAGGGCATGTACCTCCAAAATCGGATTTTTTCTGAACTCTGCATCCCAATAGGTACTTGTGAACCAAGATTCAAATTTCTAATCTTTCTAGAACATGGTTAGAATTAGCGTCAGTCAGTCATGATTGTCTATATACCTGTATATATATTAGATGTTTCCAACTTATTCTCAAAATTTCATCCAAATTCGTCAAGCTGAAGTAATACCATCAGCAGTTATTGAATATAAGTTAGACATTAAGAAAGGACAAGAGCTTCTGCTGGTAGTGGAGAGGAGGCCTGTTGGATGCTTTCCTTCTAGTCTTCAAGACATTCTCGAACTCATTTCCAATCCATTCTTTTCTCTGGTCGTCTCTTGCAGATGAATTGATGAGTTTTTTCAAATTTCATTCATAACTTTCCTGATTCTTTGAAGGGACTATCCATAAGTGCCACACTTGCCAGAGAAATTATTCATAACTTTGTTTTAAGTTAATGAATTTTAACAGCCTTCTGGAATTTCCAATGAATTAAATCATGCCACATTCTCAACTAATTTTGAGACATGAGTGAAGCAATTTTCATATGCACTCAAATTCTTTGGTCTTTTTTTGTCATACCCAGCAGATTCATGCTGATGGTAATGAAGGGAAATTCTGAATGAACTTTGAAAATATTCTGAATTCATCAGTTCATTTATTAATTTCTTATTAATTGGGAATAAGCTCATGAAAACAATCTGCAAGGGGTGACTAGCCCAAATAATGAATTTAAATGGAAGAGGAAATTGAATTGGTCTTGAGACAAGGAAGGAGTGTGCTCTGGCATTCCCTCCTCTGATTATATCAATATTTTGAGGATACATTGGAAACATTCTCAAGTAGGCATAGTTAAAGATTCGCAAAAATTATTCCTTTACGAGTGGATATATTTTGAATGAAAGTTTTGATCTTTTTGCATACCCTGTATAATCTATTCAATATATTTCCATATAGGTAAATAAACATTTTTCATTACGGTTATATAAGCATTGTACACATGTTTCATGAACAACAACTTTGGCAAGAAGAGAATTTCCAAGACAAGAAATAAATGTAAAGTGAAAAAAAAGTGCTGCTGGTAAAAACTGTAAAGTAAGAAAAAGAGCATTGAAGAGGTTAAGGAACATTCAGTAATGAAAATTTGAGAGAAACCAGATTTTTTTGTCAAGGGCTGGACCCTTCCTCATAGTGATTTGCCTGCTCCCATCTGTCAGGCAGACAGGTGTGTCATAGAATGTTTGATTTCATTAATGGTGTGTGCATTTGTGGTGTTCTCCTTTTTCTCCAAATTTCTTTCAAAAAGAAATTTGGCAGTCTGGAGAAGTTGCTAGCCACTGTATGTCCCCTCTCTTATTGATAACACTTTCTCTTCAAACTTGTCTATGATATTCTTAATGTTTGGATTTCATGTTTTATCAGGAAGCTATCATCCACATCTCTTGAGAGTAGCAGGTGAAGGCATTTCAATTAATTTATACACAATGAACACCCTTAGCTCTGTTTTTATTCCTGATAAAACACCTCCATCAAGTTCAACAATTGAGAAGAATGTTGATAAGTTTCAAGAGAAAGTGTTATAAGTATGAAAGGGGACATCTTGCTGCCAGCAACATGTCCTAATCTAAGACTGCCATTTTTAAAAAATGGGGTTTCCTTAGAAGAACAGACATCCTCCACAAATCCACACACCATTGTTGAACTCAAACATTCTGTGGTTACAGTGCTAAGAGGCATAACACAAGAAACACTGAACAAGGCTATTTAAAACACTGCTGTATGTTACAGACAGTTTATCCAAAGGAACGGTGAACACTTGGAGCATGTCTTTCGACATTGAAAAAACTCTTTGAGTTTGCCTGTCAGATGACACGTAATTCAACTTTCTATCGTATTAAATAATGAAAATACAGGTTAATGAAATTTGAAACATTTTTGTGCACCACCCTGTACAGAACATTCATGCAAGTCCACCGCATGTTCAGTGTTAAAGGCATTTTAGTGTCGCAAATGATTCACCAAACCAAGACCTTTAACAGGGGTGACTCAAGGTTGGGTCAATCATCAACATTGGCAGAACCTCATGAGAACTCCCTGAATACTAGGTATGGAAAAGTTGAAGTTCTTAGAGAGCTTTTAAATTGACACTTTCTAAATTCTCAGAAGTATATCTTGCATTTTTGCTCCTTCTCCCAACCCATATTAATGGCAGATTGGCTGTCACTGCTGATCTTGAGGCATTAGCAATGACTTTCATTTTTTGGAATGTTAGTGCCTGTTGAATATTGACCAACAGGCAGGAGCACCTGTTCTGAATGCACCACACAAAATGTATCACAATTATTTCCCCCTTTCTAAAAATAAATTCCATGTCCCATGGAATATCCAAATTGCTTTATCAGATTCCTCATTCATTTTTACTGGGACAGTTAAAGTGTCATGAAAAGGAAATAAAAAAGAAAAACAATACAAAAAAACCATTAAGAATGAAATTTCTTTTATGTACCCCAAAGTCCCAACACAGGATTCATACCAGAATTGGCACCTGTACATCAAAGAATACTGGAGATACAGAGCCAGTCTAAGAACTTTTTGTACACCCCTCATACGTAGAAGTTCTTTTATTTGTGTAAGTCAAATATTTTTTATTTTATGAGACCAGTCCTTGAACTTTGGTAACCCTAGTATCTCTTTGTAAAATTAAACCTTACAGCAAATGAGGTGTCTCTATCCCTCTTGGGAGTACGGGAGAAGCAAAAAATAGTTGAAGCACTTTTACATAGATTTCCTCTTCACTTTCCTGCTGTTGGATGGAAGAATGAACATGAAAAATTCCTTGGGTTTCCATCTCTTCATCCTCCAATACCAAAACCCATAAAATGCAGCAATATCATAAACAGATTATATATTTCACATTCTATACTTCCACATAAATCCACCTTCAATATACATGATTCTATAAAAATATAATATAGGCAAAAAAAATGCCATTCAAAGAAAGACATCAGGTGAAAAATTCCTCATAAAAAATCACACTGCATTTCTTAAGTCATTGCTACAATGTGAAAATAACAAGAATAATTAATGGACCATCAATCATGGTTAGGATAAAATACCAGGTGATTTTACATAATAGTAAAATAAACAATAACATGACCCTTGTACAAGCAGTGATATGTGCTTGAGTAGCATGAAGTGCTACAACTCACAAGATGTGAGTGAAACGGATATGAAGCTTCAGGTAGAAGCAAGAAGTGCAGAGGCTTCTTCAGACACCTGCACACAAGAGAATCACATCATTCAATACTTATGTTCAATTTCACAATTTTGAATGATCACAAAGAAGAATGGAATTACTCATTCACACATTCAGGGCATGGTATACTTGAAAGTTGAAAGGTCAGTTACTTATAGGATAAGGGACACTAACTGAAAAAGTGGAACTTCCATGTCTTCTGTTTCATCTAATTGTTATCATTTTTTATTTTAGAAAGGACATCGTGCTTGGGTGTTTCCTACCCTGCACTACCAGCAGGTGGTCTTGTCCATTCTCAATATGTAACTTATTTTCAACAAGTGCGAAAAGCATTGCTTTTGATGAAGAAACACAGATGCAATACTGAGATTCAGTTGAAAATATACTCTTATATCCATAGTGAAGGTTTTGCAAAAATAGTTACATTATGAGTGGAAATATTCAGGTTAATATACTATGGTTAAATCCTTTTTTTGCCATACCCTGTATAACCTTAATGATTTTTAAGAACACACTTTAATGAAATTCTCCTTTCTCAGTCAGAAAATCACATCCCTTATGAATATCCTACCACAACTTCTAGTGTTCCCACCAGTGTCAACAATGAATGCAATTTTGTCAAAATGTCCATGCCCATGACAACTGCCAGACCATTACTCTGATTCACTTTTATACTGCTATTCCATCATATAATTAAAGTAAGAACGTGAAGTAAAGCCTGATATGCTCCAACATCATTTAGTCAACATTTAAGGCTCCTTGTAGTTCCAATCCTGGAAATATATATCATTTCCTTTGAAGATTTCAGCAAGTCAAGGAATCAAGCAGGTGAGAGAGAGAAGTCTTTGTTTAAATATTATTTTATGGAAAATAAGGAAATAAATATTTTTTATTTATTGAATTCTTGAAGACCAGTCAGAGCCTCTTAGGCAAGATAACATTTGCCATACATTAGGAAAGGTAGAGGACTTACCTTTCGGTCTTCAACCGACTGTACTGGATAACCAGCAGCATCTTGAAGGTACTTTACAGCATCATTGTTCCTACCCAGCTTCTTCAAAGTCTTCCCAATCATCAACAAGTTTTGGCTACACAGAGATGATTTCATTCCATCATCAAGTCATGAGATGAGAGAGATGGGATGGAATTGTTAAAGGACAAACTTGTAAAAGTGGGGATCCAGATTCTCTGCCTTAAGGAAGAACTCAAGGGCTTCCTCAAATGAGGATTCAGGAGGTGTGGCAAAGATGGCAGATGCCAGTCTCCTTTGATACCAAGGCATCTCTGCTATTGCAAAGCACCTTTCATGCAACATAAAACCATGACACAAACATTAATGTTTCATGATTAGTACTTTCATCAAGAGAGAGAACTTGATTCATGGGGTCTTTCTTTTCTCCACCATAAAGTTTCCCACCAAAACTCAGAAGGATGCATAGTATCTGCAGGCTTTGATCATGCAAGCACTGATGGGCATACATGCATCAAGACAGTCACTGGCACTATAATAAACATCTTAGGAGTAAGGAATGTTTAAGCAATTGTTAGAATACTTCAGGTTATCAAGTGTAGATGAAACCTGAAAGTTTAATGAGTCATTCATCAAATGCTCTCTTGAGCTCCATCACAGGACAAGCAGCACTTTTTTTTTCCATACTCAACTGAAAATGAATTTGATGAAGGGGATATAGTTTTCCCTATATTTTTTTCCATTAACAAATTTTGTTGTGTTTATCTATTCCAATGCTGCAGACCTAGAAATTAACAGAGATTTCTCAGGAAAATAGAAGCTTAAAATAGAATTAATGAAGAAGCATTCATACAAGGTGTTCATATTTATTCACAACATAGGAAGTATTTTACTGCCTGTATGAGGAGTTCAGGTAATGCTTTAAAAAGCCCACTGAGTTGCATACCTGCAAGGAAACACCCAAGTGATTGTTTTTATCCATACAGATATGCAACCAAGTGAGCTATATGGCTCTTGCTGAACTTCACAAACAGGCAGCAATATTTTCCCATGTTGCCTTTAAATATGAACACCCTGTATATGCAGGGTGATCCATAAAAATATGACAATTTTGCATAGGAGATATACAGGTTTATTAATAGTTAACAATGTAAAATTTTTTCCCAAATGGTACACAAAAGATGAGGATTTGTCTGTAGGTGTTTTTTACTTTTTGAAAATCGGCATCTGTCAGCTTTTGCACAACTTGAATTTTAAATGCTCATAAGTGTAGGTCATCACTAAGAATGCGCTGTAAGCTGCCATAGGACAAGGCCATTGCCTGTGAACATCACTGGATGGACTTTCTCGGGCTGCTCGTCACAGCTTGAATCACACATTCAATGTTTTCTGGTGTGCACACTGAAACTGGTTTTCCTGTTGGTTTGGCATCCCTGACAAATACGTCTGTACACCACTTGCATACCCATTGCTGAATTGTGTCATTTGTTGGAGCTTCCCTTTGCTTGGTAATGCAGTGGAACTCATGTCTGGTTTCCTTGAACAAGAGGGTTCGCAAATAGATCTCCACAATGTGGATCCTGTCTTGCATGTACCAACGCTCCATGACTGACTAACCTCCCACATGTGGTCAACACCCCCAGTTAGTCACCTGCAGTGCCACTTACTTGGTGCACCTGTACTAGTGACTTCAAATTGTCATATGTTTATGGATCATCCAGTATGATCCCACATTAAAAATGGAAACTCACCATGACCCCATGAGATAGAGTGTTGTTGCATCCTTGGGATTTAGTTCATGTGACCTCTGTGGATGGGGGAAAGAAATCCAGTAGTGGAACATCTGAGAAAGGGGAAACGAGACTGAATGCAAATTTGAGAGACTGGCCTGCATGTGTTCCCTAATTTTATAGGCATTGAGGATGGTGGCTTTGGTTCCCTCATAGCGGCTGGTTTTGTCTAAGAGAATGGCCATCCACTTGTGGGCAGCTGCGTTTTCTGCATTCACTTCCAAAGCCCTTCGCACATATGAGGCAGCCTCAAGGATCAACTCCTTCTCCCTCTGCTTCTCATCCACCAGCTTGGACTCTTCATATGCTGCACGAGCCAGTCTCCATAAGAGTTCATCAATGTCTGAGTCCTGTCAACACATCCATGCATTAGACATGACAGGCAAGTAAGTCAAGATACATAAAAGGAAAATGAAAAACCTTGCTATAATCTGAACAGTCATCATCACATCAAGATAATTTCATTGGAATAGTAAAAGTTTCTGATCAAACTGATCACACATTTAAATACATGGGTTTTATATCCATATCCATGTGGTGCCATAATGATGTGCACTGCCTTATCCATTATCAAATATATCTGTAGCCCAATTTACACAACAGAGGTCATCAGTATGCTTGGTGTGGTTGTCTAAAAAGAGTGTGTGACTTCTGAATGCCCTATATATTCTTTTAATATCATTAACCCTTTTCATCAAAACTTTATTGCATCAGAGCATGGCATTTTTGTCAATTTGGTAAATACAGAATATATCACAGAAGCTTTTCCTCTATTCCATCATTGCCCACTTGGTCAGTGACATTGTGTTTTTATTACAGGAGAGTAGATGATATGTGTTGGCTGACTCCCCACAAAGCAAACATACACATCCTTCTTTTGCTTTGTGGAAGGCTTTGGTTTTGCAGATCTTAAAGTTATCGTTGCCCATTTGGTCAGTGACATTGTGTTTTTATTACAGGAGAGTAGATGATATGTGTTGGCTGACTCCCCACAAAGCAATCATACACATCCTTCTTTTGCTTTGTGGAAGGCTTTGGTTTTGCAGATCTTAAAGTGGAATCCATGGAGGGCTTGTCGAGTCAATACATGTCGAATCTTGTCGTTTGGTCCTGTCCACTGGTCTGTTAGGGCCGGTGTTTTCCAAAAATCTTCTTCAATGTCCCTTCTCTTCCCTTCAATCTCTGTTCTGTATTGCTTGGTTTGCATGTTCTCTGGGAGGTTCATTTCACGTAGTAGATCCTCAACTAGAGTTTCCTGGTGGCACATGGCCAGCACCAGTGTATTGGATGCACTTGGGGGCAAGGATAGCATTCTCTTCAAGAAGGTGGTTTTTGCCCTATCTAGGGTGTGCAGGTTTGCTGCTTTTAGGTGGGGCCAAATAGGTTCTATGGCATATGTAAGGATTGGTCGAATTTTGATGTTGAAAAGTTTGACTCCTGCCTGAACAGACAGCTTGCGTGGATTGGGCAGGGAGAATGTTGCTCGTGTAGCTCTTACAACCACGTTCTTAATATGTTCTGTGAAGCAGCAAGTTGTCTGGAATGTGACCCCTAGGTATGTATATGAGTTGGTTATATTTAGGGGGTGACTATCAAATTCAAAGACATCCGCGTTGGCCCAGTTACAACCACGTTCTTAATATGTTCTGTGAAGCAGCAAGTTGTCTGGAATGTGACCCCTAGGTATGTATATGAGTTGGTTATATTTAGGGGGTGACTCTCAAATTCAAAGACATCCGCGTTGGCCCAGCGACCCCCCCCCCTAAACTTCATGATTTTTGTCTTCTCTGAGTTGACTGCGAGTCCATTCTCCTCTGACCAAGTTTGTAAGGCCTCCAGACCTTTCGCTATTGCTTCCCGGGAAGGGGCAGTGAACAGTAGGTCATCTGCGAATAGCTTCACCTTCAGGGAGGGGTGGGCCGTTTTGATAGCAGAAGGAAGATCCCAGGTGAAGCAGGCAAAGAGGTATGGACTCAGGGAATCCCCTTGAAGTACTCCCAATTTCTGTGCGATTGGCTTTGTTCTTCGTAGTCCATCGTCGATTCTGATGTAGTTATCTGACAGGATGTTCTTGAGGAGTCCAAGGAGTTGTCCCCTTAGTCCTAGTCTCATAATCTTGTTGATAAGTCTCTCCCGTGGGACTGAGTCAAATGCCTTTTTGAAATCCACGAAGGCCGCATAAATGAAGGCGCGCTTCTGTTGTAGTTGTTCCTGAATGTCCTTGATGAGATCTTGGATGGGTTGGATGGTTGATCTGCCTGGCATAAATCCATGCTGTTCCTTGGGGATGTAGTGGTCCAAGTAATTCCGTAGCCGACTCTCCACCATTTTGGTCAGTATTTTGAAGGGGCAGGAGAGCAGCGCAATTCCTCGGTAGTTGTTTGGTTGATTAATTTCACCTTTTCCCTTGTAGAGGACTTTAGTCGTGCTGTTTTTCCAGTCTGCAACGATTCTCCCTTCCTTCAAGCATTGGTTGTAGATGTTCGTCCAGAGGCGGGCAGTGACGTCAAGGCTACCCTTTAGGTGTTCATATGAGAGTAGATCAGAGCCTGTTGCTTTCTTGTTCGGCCGGGTGAGGATTGTTTTGATCACTTCACTCTCTGTAAAGGGGCGGTTGTAATCTGCTTCTCCCCCCATGCGCAGGAAGTCACTTGGGACTCTAAGTTCAGGTAGTACATCAGGTGGGCTTAAGAGTGCTGAGAAGTGCTTTTCCCAGTGATCAAGGGGATGGGGCAGCTTTGGTTCACTCGGATGGGTTTCCATTTCCACGGGGTGTCCTCAGCTTCTTGTATGAGTTTCCTTTCCACTTCCTGGTCGAAGTTGTGTTTTTTCCTCCGGATAACTTGTTTGTACCTTCTACGCGATTCTGCGTATTCTGGACATTTTCCTTGATCCCAGATGACTTCTTGATGTCTCATCAATACCTCGCGCTTAAGCATATAGCACTCCTGGTCAAACCATTCCTTTGCGATCCTTCCCTTTTTGGTTATCCTAGGGGCTGCATTAAGGGTGGCCTGTCTCAAGAGTTCATAGGCCATGTCCAGTTTGCCTTCTTTTAGAAGCTCTTCAGCCATTGTCAGTTGAGTGTCTTCTGCCAAAATATTAATGTCAATCTTCCGTTTGAGCTTAATCTCTTTAATAGGAGGCTGCCTTCTTTCCTGTTGTGGGATCTTCCACCTGACTTGGATAGGGACATGTTTCCTTAGTGGGATTGAGGCTGAGTTGTTCACAGTGAGGTACTTGAATTGTCTAATCCTACCACTGGGAATGGTTTTAAACACTAGGTCAATAACACTTGTCCCATTATGGCATACATACGTTGGGCGGTGTGGGTCATTGAGTAGGTATAGTCCTGCCGTACTAGTGGCTTCGTTTAGAGCAAGAGGCTTTTCGGACTTACTGGAGTCAACTCTGGTATTGAAGTCCCCCATCAGGATTATTAGTCGGTTATTTGTGGCTTCTTGAAGTGCTGTTTCAATCACTGCCGCAACTTCATCTGGAGATGCTTCAGGTGAAGCGTAGCAGCAAGCAAGGATGGCATATGGTGTTCTCATGGTGACTGAGGTCTCACTGTGATGGACTAGTTCGGGTTCTAAGAAAGGCTTGCAGGCTATACAAATTCCGCCCGACGCCCTGCCTCTACTTGCAGTTGGCCTGGCAAGGGAGTGAAATGAGTAGTAGCCCTCAATGTCCATGGGTTTAGTAAGGAATGTCTCTGTGAAGAGGAGGATGTCATGCGTTCCAAAGATGTTGTCTGGGCTGAGTTTAATAAGAGACCGCAGTCCCTCCACATTCCACAGGATGGTGTTGAAGAAAACATGTCTTCTTTTATTGACATCTCTTCTATGTCCCCTCTTGTTTTTTTTGCTTCCTCTTCTTCTTGTTTTGACGTGTGGCCCAGTGATGTGGAGAGTTAAGTTGCTCACTAGGCCTAGGCCTAAACGTATCCTGTCCCCTGGCAAGTTTTAGATCCAAAATCAAGGCCTGTGCAGGGTCTGGCAATGTGTGCCCTGCCGGTAAGGATCTAAGGAAGGCACTGTCACGTAAATGGGCTAAGGTGAGGCAGAGGAGAAGAAGAGTTTGTGTACACAACACAATATAGATGCAAGAGCGAGCGAAGGAGGGTTCAGCCATCTTGGCGCGCCCTCGACTACTTTGACAATGGCTGAAGAGCTCCTAAAAGAAGGCAAACTGGACATGGCCTATGAACTCTTGAGACAGGCCACCCTTAATGCAGCCCCTAGGATAACCAAAAAGGGAAGGATCGCAAAGGAAT